TCACCCTCCCGCATTTACACGGTTGTATCCGGCTAAACGTTTGCAGTACAAGCAGAGAAACACCAACACGCTGCAAAAGACCTAATCTGGATACTTTGGCTCATTCTGGTCGCCAGCGGTTGAGGTCTGGGTTGAAGCTGCGTGAAGACCCCTCAGTCTAGAGGCCAGAAGGTCAGTCTTTGAAAGAGGCTTGTTTAGCCTACCAGAACAAAAACTAGATGAGGAAACGCCTAGGTTTTTTGCTTCATAATAGCTTTCTAAATAAATCAGTGGAGTAAAAGCAAAAGGAGCTACTTAAATGACACAACTGGCATAAGAAGAAATGGGTAGAAAATGTCAGCAAGTAGGCTCTCCATGAGAGCTGCAGTGAAAGCAACAGCCACTGCACTGAGCGTTGCTTTCCTGCTGCACAACCATGCAAAGCGCATTTCAGCCTTACGGCAGAACTCGGTAGCCTTGCTCAAAGAGTAATTAATAAAGGCAATGTGCTACATTGTCTGGCCATAGGCTAATTGATGTTTGAAAGAGGGCTAGATACTACTGTGACTTGCATATGTAAATACTATCTGATTGCATTATAAGTTCACAGAATCGCAGAGTAAGCGGGGTGGGAAGGGACCTCAGGGAGTCTGTAGACCAACCTCCTCCTCAAAGCAAGCGCAGCCATGAACTCAGCCCAGGTTGCCCATGTCTTGAAGACCTCCAAGGACAGAGGCTGGACGACCTCCCCAGGCAGCTTGCTCTACAGCCTGACTGTTCTCACTGGGAGGAAGCTTTCCCCTTTCGATCCACTCTGAGCCATTCTCATTTCAATTTGTGCCTGCTGTCTCTTATCCTCCCACTATGCCCCACTACAAGAAGCCTGACCCTATGTTCTTTATAAACTCTCTGTAGTGTAGGCAGCAGGAAGGTGGAGGCCTCCTTTTAGGTCCCCAGAAAGCCTTCTTTCCTCCTGGTTGAGCAAGCTCAGTTTCCTCAGCCTCTCCTCACAGAGCAAGTGCTCCAGCCCCAAGACATCTTGGCAGCCCTCTGCTGAACTCTCCAGTATATCCATGTCTTTCAGTTACTGGGGAGCCCAGAACTGGGCTAGAGCGTCTAAATACTGCCTAGCTTGTGCAGAGTAGAAGGGGATAGTCACGTCTCTCTGCTGGCCATGCTCCTGTTAATGCAGCCCAGGATGCTGCTGGCCTTGTTTACTACCAGGACAGACTAAAGGCCCCTGCTCAGCTCGCTCCCTGCCAAGACCCCCAGGCCCTTCTCAGCAGCGCTGCTCCCTGGCCTGTACCATTGCAAGGGGCCATTCCTTCCTACGTGTGGTACTTCACATTTGTCCTTGAATTTCATACGGTCCCTGTCACCCCGTTCCTCCAGCTCTCTGAATGGCAGCCCTGCGCTCAAGCATACCAACGGGCTCCCCACAATTTGGGCTCATCTGGAAACTTGATGAGTCTACTCTGCTGCCTGCACCTAACTGATAATATGTTAAACAAGACAGGTCCAAATATAAACATGTAACTTTGGTAGCACAGCTAACGTAGTACAGTGGAATAGGCAGAGCCTGAACATACTTTCTTTACTCCTTTCTGGAATAAGGCAAGTGAACGGTGCTGAGGTTACTGCATCCCAGCGATGCAATACTGCTAGGTAGTATGGCTTTTGATTCTGTTCTTCTACTCAGACCATCATCCTTACATCTTTATCTAGGAAAGTACAGTGAGTGCAACATTCTCTTGTATCACTAATCAGAACAGGCAAGTACTAACTATCTGTACTGGTTACTGAATACAATGCATAGAAATAGGACATACGTGGGAATGAAACAGTGCTACGTTAAGCTCCCGTTGCATATCACTAGGTTTCTAATATCCAGCATTGTCACTGTCTGAGGTCTTGATGAAGTACAGTTATTTTCTTAGATGATGAATATCATACTAAATGCTGTACTTGTACATTAACACCATGTATGAACTAGAACCATCCAAAAATTAACACCAAATCCCTGAAGCATACACTTCAGCTGACCTCAGGAGGTTTTACCCTATGTTGTGTGCTAAAGTCTTTTAGACAGTCAACACCAGCTCATCATTTCCACATGATCGATATAGCTATGTGCAAGCACTCACAGGAACCTGCAGGCATTGAGTGTTAATATTTCTCTAGCAGCATGATGACAGACACCACCCGTGGGTAATCATTTCAGAGGCAATTGTGTATATTATATATACGCACTTAACATTTTTGCCAATTAAGTACAACTATTGCTTTAGTGGCAATCCATACAAGTTTGTGGGCTGACTGCATATCTGCTATAACTTACCTGCAGTGCAAGTTGAAAGTAGTGCCTAATGGGGGATGATTGATTGAAGTAAGAAGGGGCATAAATAAAACATCAAGATAAGAGAACCTCAATGGAACACTGACTTTTTTTCGAAAAACTTTTTAGTCGTCATTAACAGTTGTGCAAAGTTAGCATCAATAGTCCAAAATTCAAGGTGAAAGAAAAAATGCACATGTTCTTCCTGAAGCGACAAGGAAAAGCAAGCTTGGGCCTTCATCAGTGCGCCACGCATAGCTGTAATTTCTGCAGCGTGTGTCATAGTGTTCGGAGCTGTGTGGGAAAAGCAGGCCACAGACAACAGGCAGAGAATGGAGCTTGGTGGTTGGACAATTCCTATTTGCAAATGGATTCTGCTTTGACTTGCGTGAATGGCAGAAGGTTGGAAGTACAGGTTCTATGTCATTGGTCCGACTGTTTACCCAAGGTGTGAAGCAACAGTGAAACTAATTTTTTGTTAAGCGATTCCAGATTTGCCCTGCCCTCCCTAAAAATGGAATAAATAGCATAGAACTGTGCAGAAGGTTTAAATGCTTTGACAGGGTAGGTTTAGACTGGATCTAAGGAAGAAATTCTTTCCAGTGAGGGTGGTGAAACCCTGGCAGGGGTTGCCCCGAGAGGGGGTGGAGGCCCCATCCCTGGGACCATTCCAGGCCAGGTTGGCCGGGGCTGTGAGCAACCTGATGTGGTTCAAGGTGTCCCTGCTCCTGCAGGGGGGTTGGGCTGGGTGACCTTCCAACACAAAACATTCTATGACTTTAGTATGACTGGCTGATACGAGTAAGAAACATAGGTAAGAGTCTCACACACTGTGCTTTTGTTGATAGATAAGCTGTTAGGTAGAGGTCTCCAAGGAAGACATTGCCCTTGTTGGAAGCTGCGGACAGCAGTCGGGCCCAAGTGACCCACTGCAGTGACATGCGAGACCGTAACCACGAGCACAATTCCAGAGCTCTGCCTCATTTCCATCGCTAACAAGAAAATAAATCTTTCCTATAATCTGGAAGCTAGCACTACCAGACCTATCATTTCTTCTACAGACGGTCCTACATGACAGGTCTGGGGGCCATCTTGTTTGTAGAGCCCTTGCTTGTTAAAAACGATGCTTGAACCGTCCATCATCTTGCCCTATGATTTTTACCTCGCTTGAAGGAACTGCTTAGCCACAAAGGACATGTGGGCCAGGAAATATCTTTGCCCAATATATGCTTCTAAAATAAGATTTTTTTTTAATTCTGTAACATTTATGTATATTATTTGTACAGAATATTATACGGCTTTCTGAGATCAACACTGATGAGTACCAGAATATCAGAAACATCAGAAAAATAAATGCATTTAACTACTGAAATGAGAGCTTTCAATTAGGATATGTATCAATACAGGCACAATAAATGTTTAAATCACATCAATACTACCCACTTGGAGGAAGCACTATAAATAGCACAAAACCTTTGAGGCTAGAAGAAGACTTGATGTATTTTATTAATAGAGTAAAAGATAGCTCAGCTGAATTGCATGATTCAGTGCCTGCTCTAGATACCGTAGCTCTTTTTCTGCAAGCAAGGAAACACTTTGCAATAACCTTAGAATTATGAAAATGGTCTGCCCCATGAGCCAAAGTCTGTTCTGGCTTGGCTCCAGGGGCTGCGGTGAAGTTGAGTAACTCCTAAACGAGAACAAACCCAGTTCTGCTACACAGATAAAAATTGCCTGTTAAGTATGCCCGGAGATTTTATGTCACCTGAAGGAGCAGTCTTCAGGGCACACACAGGAGGATGTAATTAAACAACACAAAGGCAACAGATACTTAAAAGGCAGCAGACAATGTTTGGTGTTTTTTCTTGGTTTAGAGTGAAATGAAGACTTGCTCCTTTATACAGAAATAACTAGCTCAGCTTTAAACTATCATTATAAAATAATTCTTCGGAACAAACATATCTCAGCATCTCATTACCCTATAATAACAAGCTACAGGAAATTCAGATTCTTTTATGATTTTTCACATATTTTTCTTTACCAGTACTTGTGTTTTCTAGCACATGGCATTGGGCTGGTTTAGTGTGAAAAGGCTATTGTGCCTTAATTCAGAAAGATTGGTGCCATAATAGGCATAAATTGTTTTATATTGTTTACAGATCAAGAAACCATGATTCAATATTGTCAGTGGAGGTTAAGCGGGGTCTGCTTCAGCTGTGTTCTGGCTCCTCCTGTGACACATCACCATTTGGGAGGGCACAGAACACTCTGCAGGATTGGGGCTGTTACCCGAGCTTTATTTACAGCACAGCTTTAAATAGCCATGCCCCACGAAGGCAGTGACGGTCAGAGCGTGATCAGAGGGACTGCTCCTGGGGGTTTGCACTACACATGCACAAACATGCTTAGAGGACTGAGGCCTCACCAGGTATTTCTTAAAGCAGCATGAGAAGCATCACAGTTATTGAGTTTACTTACCCACACTGAGCTCACTTTTTAGTTGTTTCAGACACCCAAATTAGTCTCTTTTGTGACCAAAATAGAGTGCTTACAGTCGACTGCCGCTGGAAGCGCGGGTCCGGGTGTAGGTTGCAGCCCAGACCTCACGTCGGATCAATGATGCGTCTGAAGCCAAATCCGGGAAATGTTTCAGAGCTTTTCAGATGCCACAGCTCTCAGGAGAAAGAGCTGCAGGTCAGAAACAGAAGTGCCCAGCAGGGTGAAGGGTGCTGCAGAAACAAATAGGCTGCGTAGAGGAACATGGGTCACACCAGTACTGTCCAGCAATGATAGATGCCCCGATGCTTTGGAAGATTTAAAATCCGGGAGGCCTGGGCCTCACCAGCCCATGGATGGGCCTGTCCATAGAGGAAGGTCCCTATTAACACCTGCGATTCTGTGACTGAAACCTTGTATTCTTCAGCAGAGCAAACAGCTTTTGAATGATTTGGGTTATCCTGGGTAATTCCAGTCTTTCAAAAACCACTGTCTTTTCTTGAATCTTTGAGTTCTTGTACCTGCTTGAGTAACATCCAACTTCTTTAAAGATTTATGAACGTCTCCTAAAATAAAGCTCCAGTGCTTTAAACTTGCAGAAGCTTTTCCTCAGTGACAACACAGGATTGTTACATTACCCAAAGCATTTATCCTTTTTTGAAAAACTCCTCTGCTATTTTGAGACTCTTTTGATTACAAATTCTAAATACATTTAGAAATCTATACTTCTGATACTTTTGACTTTGACACTTTCCAATCAAGAAGGTTATACTCAGTATAGAAGACTTGTTCAAGCCATCAGTTTCAGAACATAAAGATAGCCCCTGAGTAGAGCTGGGCTTTTTTGGACAACAACTGCATTTCAACCGAGCCTCCTAAAGTCACTGGGCAACTTCCCCTTTCTTCGTGTCGTGGTCCCTACCTCAGGATGGCAGGGCACCGTGGGGGCCAGCACTCACCCCCAGCGCGGGAAGCCAGGGGCGGTACCACAACAGCAGGGCAGGCGTCTCACCAGCCAGGGCCCTTGTAGAATCACAGAACTGCTTAGGTTGGAAAAGCTCTTTAAGATCATCAAGTCCAACCGTTCCCCTACCCCTGCCATCCCACCACTGAACCCTGGCCCCAAGCACCTCATCTCTCCTTCTTTTAAATCCCCCCAGGGCTGGGGACTCGACCCCTTCCCTGGGCAGCCCTTTCCAGCCCCTGCCCGCCCTGTTCCCCATGGCCAACCTCACCCTGCCCTGGCACAACTTGAGGCCGGTGCCCCTCGTCCCATCGCCCCTTCCCTGGGAGCAGAGCCCGACCCCCCTGGCTCCCCCCTCCTCTCAGGCAGTTGTAGGCAGCGATGAGGGCTCCCCTCAGCCTCCTCTGCTCCAGGCTGAACCCCCCCAGCTCCCCCAGCCGCTCCCCAGCAGCCTGGGGCTCCAGACCCCTCCCCAGCTCCATTGCTCTCCTCTGGAGATGTTCCTTCCTACATCACCACAGAAGGAGTGTAGGCCCCACCGCAGCAAGGCAGGCCTGAGGTCATGCTAGGAGCATGGCTCAGGGCCCAGCCTAGGAGGAGCAACCAGAGGCATCCACGGTGATAAGGCAACTCTGAGATCAAGCTAGGACATCAGCCTGCAGGTTAGCATCCACCACAAGACAGGGGCAACTGCAATGTAACAACCACCCTGCATACAGGCAGAGCTATAGGAGGGCTCAGACAAGGACTGATGGCTCAGAGCTGAGCTTATGTGGGTCCCCGGGCAGGGTGTGCCTCGGGCCCAGGTGAGGGCGGTCAGGGCTGTTGCAGCCTGTTGGTGCACTCAGCATATAAACTCCACAGCCTCCCGGGCAGCTCAGGTTTATGGGGAGCCTGCTTGTGCTGGAGGCCATTCAAAGACTGTGTACTAATCTGTAGGCTTTAGTAATGTGTGAAGGTTGTTAATCTGCTTTTCCTCTGACCAGGAGTAAGTTCAGATTTTCTTTAAGGTATTATATAGCAGCTGGACTAACTGTATTTGTCAAATTCCCAGCAAGTAATTCATGTGGTATGCAACCCTACTTTTTCCTGGCTCGTCAGTCCTATTTTTCTTTCTAGATTTTAACACGCAGGCCTTTCCAGCTAAATGTGGTAATCTCTTCCATCAACCTGGAACATGTTTGTAACAAATCCCTGGAATGCATTCTTTAGCCTTGAGAGAAAGCAGCACCTTGGCGTAACTTCATACCAACTGAATACTAACTCACTCCTCTGGGTGCTGAACACCTTTACCCTCCCTTTTAACAGAGTGCTGATGAGTGCAGTACCCGAAGAATCGCATCGTAGGACATCTTGTAGGCTGTTGCAGCCTGGTAGAGATGACTTTCAGAACTATTTTAGAGCAGACTGAAAAAATGTCCTCAAGGGGGAGGTTCCTAGGTCAAGGCCAAAGGCCTAGACCTCTTCCCAAAGATGTCTCTGGATTAGTCTTACTCCACTTACACGGGTGCCTTCAGGGCCAGTGATTACCTGACATTTGGGAGTCTCGGAGGGAAGTTTTTATTAGGAACATGAAACTGGTAATGGAGCCAGAACTGCCCTTGTAGTTCTTGTTACTGGGAAGCTGTGTATATAAATAGTTTTTACATCCTGGACTTTGTAGGACAGAAAAAGCAGGAGTGTTTCTCCTCCAGGTACCCCATGTTTATGCTTTTTACTCTTTGCTACTTTTTTTCTAGGAGCATGCTGCAGGACAGTTACTGGATTTTGGTATACTTAGCCACACACGTCACTTGCGGTGTCCCGATTCATCAGGTATGTATGCCATGAAAAATATTTTTCTACTTTTTTTACCCTGAATGAGGGGCAGCAGTACTTTAACAAGCTGCAACAAGGTTCCAGGGGCTCAGCACCACACTGCAAGCATGATTGTACAAATCCTTTTTCTTGTCATGTGAGTAAACGTTTGCTTGGCTATGGGAAGACATGCTGTGGGTTAGGGTTTCCTCACACAACACTGTTAAGAGGAAAGTGATCTGCCGATGGAGGTTGCTCGGAGCTTGCTTTATGTTTTAGTCTCCTGGAATGGGTTTCTGAGACGAAGCCGTGCCCTGGAGTTGACCGGTACAACCGTGTGTCGCCCGTGTGCTGCTGCGATCATCCATGCCGCGCGACGGTGCCCAGACGTGACACCATGTGTACATTTCTCCATCTCTGCGGAAGCGGAGCGGGCGGTACACCACTACTGCTGTGAGAGGCCCTGGCAGGGTTTGAACGGCAGCAGAGGGAACCTGAATTCAAAGCTGAAATTTCGACGCCTAAAGGATGTTTTGGTGTGTCCATGTTCTTCAGATGCACGTTTAACAGATGTAACGTCCGCAAAGCAGCGGGGTCCCACCGGCAGGGTGTCCGGCAGGCGGGAGGGCA